CACTGTTTCAGAACACTGCTTACTCAGCAATTGTCTGAGTAACACTAACAGGCGGCGAACCAGCAGCATAGCACAGTCGGTCTACCAGCTGTCTGGATGGCATTGTAAGGGCAACCCTGGAGACTCCGACGAAAAGCCTAGCAGGGGAGGATCCAAGACGTGAATAAAAGCTACAGGAAATACACGGAGGGACCGACCTAGCAGGGGAGGATCCAAAGAGAAGAAACTCTAAGGGTCTGCCTGCTAGGGCGCCAACTATATACTGGTCGTCCGTAACTGCCGACGTAGAGCGCAGAAAGCCTGAGCTGAGCGGCGTTGCAGGCTCTGTCCCAAGGTGATCGTTGGGAGGGTCTTGACGGATCAGTGATTGTGCGGGCGAAGGAGGCCGAGGACGAGGGTTGGGGTAGGTCGGAGCGTCCGAGGGGGCGCCGGTCGGATGTGCCTCGGATGCGCTCGGATGGTCTGAAGGAGGCCGAAGTGGGGGTTCCCCTGACAGGCATATGACTATGGTCAGGCCCAGTTTCAATGGGCCTTGAAGTTAACTTGAGCTTAGGTTGGACTTGCACCAACTCCAAGCCTCAAGACTGGTCTGGTGTGATGCGTGACATCAGGTATCAAAAGCTTTGGCTTGGGCTAGCACCGTCACGTGGGGGAGTTCAATGTTGAGTCGTGGTGATTATTTACTTGCTTGCTTGCTTGGTGTGTGTGGGGGAGCTGGGGGGAGGGAATACTGACCCATTTCGATCAATTCAGCGGGCCTGTGACCCGTGACCGTTTGGCCGAAATGTCCAATTCGGCCACAGGCCGAATTTCGCGTGACCTATTACCCGATTGGGAAGTTCGGCGCGCCGCAGGCGCCGAAAATTTCGAAATCTTCCCGATTAGGACAGTTTGGGACCAAAAGATTTGGCTGTGACCCGTGACCCGCCGAAATATTTCGGCCAAAAAATCCGATGTGACCGTGACCCGCCTAATTGAATGAAATAGGTCAGTATCCTACACTGATCTGGAAGTCGCAGGTATTGGCCCTTGTTGCGTCACTGCCTCCGCGTCTTCCGTCCACACTTAAAGGGCTCAGTGTGATGGGAAGGTCATCCCGGCAGTCCGACGCGGACACAGTGATTGCGCCGAACGCGAACTTCGCGGTGCCCGACCCCGACAGGCTGCTGGCGCAGTTGCGCTCACGCTGCCCGTCAATGCATCATATCATGATTGAGGTTCCGCTCCTGCAGCTGAGGTATTAGACCATGCCCATATGCACATCTCTTTGTAAAAATCCACGAGGCTCTTCAGTGCTGATCTCAGTGGATCACTGGGCATTGGAGTGAAGGAGACAGATGATGGTGTCCGACTAGGACACAGACAGGCTACGTGTGGAGCTAGCTCCGCCGCTGGTATCTGTCGCCGCACGCGGGGACCATTGATGCATCCACACATTAATTTGGCAATTAAGCAGCTCAAGGCACATAAGACGCTCTCCCGGGGCTAACGAACAGCGTCCCTGGCAGGAGACGAGATGCAGGACCCGGGACCAGTCCGGTGCCCCACCGACGTCAACAAAACGGTACGCAGGTGGGTCCCCATCCGCGACGCACCTGCCGGGCGGGCTGAGGAGTGCGCCGCGCCCGCGGCGGCATGTCCGTGATCCCGCAGAACATGGGCCGCGGGGGATAGATGCTTGAGGGTCGAATGCAGATGCAGTATGGTGGAACACACTGTCGGTTGATCAGTGCTTTCAGAAGACCGATAAGGTGGAAGAGCACACTGAGCATTGGAGAAGTATACAGTGCGGCTTCTCCGAGGTCAATCTGCTGCGCGCATCATTTGGAGGCGCTAATGGACAGCGTTGTTGCCCACGGGCTGCATCGCATGAATACCGGTGCAGAGTGGAGGAATAAAGATAGCGCACTGCTTGCGCAAACAGCCCATGTCCGTGTTGTTGCTCCACCGCTCCAGAACATCTTGATGAAGACGCCAATGACGTCAGGGCAGCTCGAACACGCCTCCGAGTTAGGATGCTCTTCAGCGGCGCGTCGTCGAAGTTGATGTCGATGCGCCGGTCGGCAGCTAAGATCGTCGTGGGGAAGCTGACGCGGCCGCAGCGATAGCATCCACGGCCCGGCCACAGTTGGGCATAAGCCAACCGCAAGCGCGGCGGCCACCAATCCGCGGAATCGGTAGCCTGGCAGGCGCCTGGTGTGATATTGTGTCAGGTGTACGGATTATCCTCCATAGCGCTGAGGCGGATGGCAAGCAGCACCACCGGGGCACGATCGTCTCCGGATGGCCAGCGCGCAGACCCGTTAGCGTGAGCTTTCAAGTTGCGTCGACGTTTGATTTGCCAAGTCCGGACCCACAGAGTCGGAATCGATGCGCCGGTGTAAGTCCTGTGTTAGCAATTTCGTCTCAGCGGAGAGTCTCAATACAGATTTAGACTCTCGAATAAGTTGGCATCCAGAGAAGGAGTTGTTGGGGCATGTGTATCGGCTAGTGTTGCGTAGATCTGCCCCTGAGGCTGGCATTTTGCATCGAGACGAGTTAATTCGTGTCCTCGACAGTGCTGTTGCACACACGCTGCATAGTTATTAGTATAAATACCGGACCGGAGTGGAGGAACAAATCCGAAGATGACCACTCTCCAGCGGCAGGTCCATATGCTGGAAGATGATGATCATTGTCGATGTGCGCAAGATGGTGCTGACCGAGTTGGGCGTCAGGAAGCTGAGGTGGCTGCGGCGCGGGCATCAAAGGACTGCCAGTGGTTGGGCACAAGCCAAGGTCCAAGCTTGCAGCGCGGAGGAGAATCCAGTATGGCCCAGACCACATTTTGCATACCGCGGGCAGCGGTCCAAGTTCGGTTGGGAAATCCGAGGCAGTTGCTAGTATTCCTGCTCGGGTAGAGCATACGGTCGATTTGATGACTGGTGTCTGAAGACAGAGAATAAGCTAGGATAAGAGTGGGCTTGTAAAAAAGGTGCGCGCTCGGTCAGTGATGTCGGGAAAGCGAGGACAGCGTAACACGCCAGGCAAAGATCTCCAGCAGCACAGTGTCGCCACAGATTTAGACTCCCGGAGAAGTTGGCGACTGGAGAAGGGGTGGTTGGCGCATGCGTATCGGTTAGTGTTGCCGTAGCATTGCGCCAGCTGGCGCCGCAGGTGTGCTGCAAAGGCTGGCATTGTGCGTCGAGATGGGCGTCAGGAACAAAAAGGGAGGCGATTGCGTAAGATGTGACTGGGCGATCACATCATGATTAGCTCCGCGCCGGGCACGCCCGATTGGCTGGGCACACGTGTGCGCTGTCAATATGTGGCAGCGCTTTCCTCTCTTCACTTCCAGCTTGGCTGCAACTGGTCGCTCCATGTTTCCGAACGAACTCTTTCACGAAGTGCTCAAAGATGTGTCGCCCGCCCAGCTCAAGCTCGTCGCTCTTGCTTCTCGTCGCCTGCGCCTGCTTGCCCGCCCATTCCTCTACAGCAAGCTTGCCGTGAAGCCATATGCGCCCCGGAGGAGCGCATTGCCTGGTCAGGCGGCGCCATCCTTAAGCTCCCACCTGCTCATGAGGTGGTGGATGCCATCGCAAAACTGGCCTTCTTCATGTCCCCCGCCATTGCGCCCGTATGTGCACTGCATCAATGTCGCCTGGGAGGAAGTGAATGGCTTCGCCGAAAGAAGCAGAGACGCAGTATTCAACGATGTAGCCGGCACGCACACCATCTGTGACGTGCTATTCGCCGGCATCTCCAAGTTCGTTAACCTACGCAAATTCTATGGCCACAGTCTCATATTCACGCTCTCTGCGCCGCCAACCTTGCGCAGGTCCGCGGCCTGATTGAGCTGGATCTCTTTGCCTGTTCTGTGGACTCCGAGATCCAGGCATTCCTTCGTGCCGCTATTAACGCACTCGACATCCGTATCCGTGTCTCAAGCGTCAAAGTCGCCACCTCGGCAGCATACAGTCCCACGTGCACGCTCTCAGAATGGTTCGCGCTTTTGAGCCCATCACCTCTCCGCGGTCAGCCTGGACATGGATCAACCAGTGGAAGGGCTTACGAGTGTGCTACCTCACGTAAAACACCTGGCGCTTAGACTCTCCGAGGGCTGCGGCGCGTTGCTAACCTACTCTGGCTGTGTGCAGCTGCAAGCGGCCTTTCCCGCAGTTGAGCAGCTTAGTGTCGAGGCGGCACTCTATGTGGACGATCCGGGGCTGCCGTGGGATGGCCCTAACGGCGGCGAACCGTTGTTTCCCGCTGTATTCAAGCTCACGACCACGTATGAAGCCAGTGAAGCTTTACCCCTCCTCCTGCGGATTGCACCGTCTATCCACACATTGCATGTCGAAAACGCTGATGCCACAAGCTTAGTGTCCGTGCTGCAGCGCAATAGGCAGTGCATCCCCGTGACAATCACGACACTCACCCTCGAATGCGACTCGGAGGACGGCGATCTTGCCGTGTGGGGGCGCGGTCTTTGCACATTTTCCGCACCTGCATACCCTCGACTTCACCGTAACGATGCTGTCCGGACGCGTGCCCGCCGTAAGTGAATGTCTCCTAAGTGTCGTCATCCGAACTGTGCCCATACCCTACTCAATACTATCACAGCCTGCCGCCTTCCTCACGGGCTTCCCGGCTAGTCTTCCCTTGGGTTTGCAGCGGCTCGAAGTCAAGTACTCGGACACGAGTATGTTCTCTCGCCGTGGGCCCCGGAGCGGTTCCTCGTCCGACACCTTGGTGATGCAGACAGGACAAGTGCTACGGAGGCAGCTGCTTCGCCCCGTTGCCCCAATCTGAGCTGGATTTCGATACTTGCACCACCCTTCCATCTCAACCTCCAGTGGACAAAGGACGCATAATCATGATATAGACACATACGAATTGAGCACACCAGATCACAAAAGATATTCAATATTGATAAACGAGAGAATGAGTGGCATTTGTATTCTTCCTTACTTGAGCTGATCTTGTGGTCAAAGGAAAGATAGGGGTGATATTGCACCGAGTCAAAGGATGCCCTGATCCAGCGGCGGGCGACCATACGTCTCCTACACCAACATCATTAGTGCATTATCCACCTCATCATTGGATAGAGAAATACGCACCGGCTCCTGCGGGTGGTTACCCAACACAGCCTCGATCCGCGCCAACACCGCAGCATCCAGCTTGGGCAGGACCTCAAGCGCGCCGAGGTTCGCCTCGAGCTGTGCGACGGAGGACACGCCGAGGATGACTGTGGAAGTGTGGCGGTGCGCCGCAACCCACGCGAGCGCCAGCGGGTTCCGCCCAGAGTTCAGCAAGTCGGGGAGAAACGACGCACCCGCAGCAATTTGGCTGAGGAGACGCACTTTCCAAAGCAGCTCTTCGCCCTGGGGACCCTCCGTCGCCCCGCAGGAACATGGGCACGGTGGCGAGCGCGTGCCGTCTGGGATGCCGTCGTTGTACTAGCAAAGTTAGTTTACGTGTTAGAGGGTTGAGGAGGATATACCTTCCCCGTCAGCAGTCCGCCCTGCAGTGCAGAGAATGCGGTTGTGCCCAGGCCGTACTTGGCGTACAAAGGGCTACAAAGTCAGCATTAGCTACTGCTGAAGTTTGATGGTTGCCCACGCACGTGTATTCCTTCTCCGGACGTTCGCGGTGGAACATGCTATCGTCTCCTCAGCATTATTTCGAAGGAAGAAAGAAGATGGCGCAGACTTGTGCTTGCACTGCTCCGATCGGCGCGATGAGGTTTAAGCGCGTGGCAACATCTGTGCTGCGGGTAAGCGACGGGAGGTCTCGGGAGAGGTACACGCTCACGATGCGCCTCCTCGATCTGGTGCGCTCCCACTCGGAGGTGCCCCAGTAGAAAGCCTGCGTGTGAATCTTAGTGGATATGGATAGACAAAATCCACCACTCACCCAGCCCTGGTCGATAACATAGTTAAATGCGCGGACGATCTCCTCCATCGGAACTAGCCTCGCGTCAGTTGACCTCCTTATGGCGAATGTAAGAAACCCACCGGTGGTATCGCAACGATGCGCGAAGATGACGTCGACATAGTCCATCTGGAGCCGTCGCAAACAAGCCTTCGTGCCCTCGATAACGCTGTTGCCAGTCAGAGTTGTAGGAAGGAAAGGAAGGTGGCGCACTGTTTGTGCGACAGCCCCGTGTCGTTCGGGCCCGTGCCTGGCTCGTGGCTCCAGAATATCTTGGTTGAGATGACGAGGTCCGTGCGGCGCCAGCCAAGTTCTTTGATAGCGTGTCCCCTGATTTTGCTGGAGTCAGAGAAAGCGTGGTCAGAAGGGAATCTCAGGGAACGCACATTTCGCGCTCAGCCGCACCTTTCTGGTAGTCCTCCGCGGTGTCGAACATGTTGATCCCATTCTCGGGCGGCCTGCATGATGTCCTTGACGCTCTCGCCGACGACGGAGCCTCCGAGGGTGAGCCCTGTCGAGAGCTCAGCTAAAGCCAATGGGGAATGCGCAAAGACGGACAGCCGCCGAGAGAGAAGAGCGGCACGCGCAGACCGCTGGGGCCCAACCGGCGGAAGGGGCATCGCTTTTGCGTCGAAGACGGGGACTGGAGAGGACATGGGGGCAGGTGGAGAGGAGTGGAATGGGAATCGATTGCAGCGTCGGCGAACGGGCCGGTGGTGTCTGCGGAAGGCGGAGCGCCGTCGGTGGGGGCAGTAGACCTATTAGTGAAATGAGCGATTGGCTCTGCGTGATGAGCAAGACATGGGTAACGCACCGTGAAAAACTTGAACACGCGTAGCGACTATCAGGACCCAGTTACGCGGACGAAATAGCACACGCACCTTGTCCCCGCCTTCGGTTGTGCCCTGCTGCTTGCCATCCGGGCCGTCCGCGGCTGATTTCACGCCGCTTGTTTCCGCCCAGTAGAGGCCGCCACCCTGGGTGTCAGACTCGCCAGCGAAAAGTGAGGGATTACTGGGGAGTAGATCAGCGAAATAGAGACTGAATGCACAACACGCACCTCAAGCCACGCCAAATCGACCGTCGCAGCCCATCCCTGCTCCTACTCGCGCTGTGGCTCAAGCATAGCATTCGTGCCGCTCCGACCAGGGGGGGACCGTCTCCCAGCACATGGAAGGAGGAAGACAAGGCGTGGCTGCTTACGTGGCACTGGCGATCGGCATCAGGTCCGGGCTCGGCGGCCGTGACATCAATCTCTGGTTTCTTTCCTCCGCTCCACGACGACGATGCGCTTGCACGACGATACCTAGCGCACCCTGCGGGCCCACCCCCTTGCAGCTGGGGCAATGAGCAACATTTGGGTTATAGCCCAGAGGGGCAATGCACAACATATGGGCTATGCATATATTTTGATATATTATATTAAGGGAACATGATATGACTAATATAAGATCATATATAGGAGGGTAAATCACCATTTCTTCAGGCCGAAGACTCGGTATGTAATATTATGGGCTTAGTGTAGCACAAAAAGAGAATCAATATTAAATCAAGTGGGGGTGATGTAAGATCACACAGGCATCAAAATCAGTGATCTCTTAGGAAAATGGTTCCACAATCAATATACTACATTAGGAACACTGATCCCATCACCATTCACCTGACATAAGACACTAAAATAGTCAAAAGAGATAAAAGTTAATAAAGAAATACTTGCGACAGAGAAAACTGGGTTATATCCCATATGTTGTGCATTGCCCCTTTGGGCTATAACCCAGATGTTGCACATTGCACTAGGGGTTCCAGCTGGCGGGCCACTCCGCGCACGAACGACAATCCGAGGCCCAATTTCTCTGGTGCATTTCTACTCCAGACATCGCCCTGCTCGTTCTCATAACTCGGGCCGGCAGTGCGTCCAGGACTATGGTCGAATGCCACTCCCCGTGCTCGTCAGCTTTCTTGCTCCACCCGCTTTGCGCCGCGCCGCCGCCGCCGCCGTTGCTAGCCGTTGCTGCGCTGCATCTACAAGTTTGCCACCCCCCCCGGCTCTTCCTTCGCCTTAGAAATCCAGCCCTCGGGCCCGGTCCATATATCCCCTGGTGTGTAGCTCCGGTCGCGCGTTCGCCTCGGGACCGGCTCTTGCGCGACACGTCAACGACACTGGCCCGCGCTTTTGCTTCCTTGCCGCCAGTATCTTGACGCCCACGACAATTGTACTTAACGCTGAATCTACGGATCCTCTAGTTTGTCGTCCACTCAACGTGCACTTACCAGCAAGCTCTTCCGCACTGAGCTGTCCCCCGGATGACTGTGTTTTCGGCAACGGTCATTTGATGCTTGTCATATCTATTCGACAACATGCTGGAATGCCCTGTCGTCTTACCAATCAAAGAAATATTATCGAAGTTAGGCATGCACGAGTCCAAACACATGTCCGAGTCGGCGATAGATTCAATCGCTGGTCCACTGCAAGTCCAGGAATGACCCACGGATAACTATCTGCCGTAGACCGCCACACCCTTTCAGTAGTTCTGCCTGGAGCTCATCCGCGCTTGGAAGACGGCTCAATCCCACTCTTCCCGTTTGCCCCCCGGGAAGGACAGCCCTTGAGGACCAAATATGGACACGGAGACTTTCGAGAGTGGGCGGAAGGATGGTCGATAGGCTGGCGAGGAAGTGAGGGGCCTGGAGAACGGTGTTGATAGGATCAAGGCCGCAGATAACAGGACAGAATTCACCTCGCTTGGCCGAGAATCACCGCTGGACTCTTTGACACGGAAATCGAGGGTGCGCAGGTTCGGGAAGAAGGCAAGGATCCCGGACCAAAGGGAGTAATTGCCATTATCCGACTGCAATGCTACGTTAGTTATCGTGGGCGGAATATACCTCTCGATGCGCTGGAGCGTAAACAGCAGTCTCCCGGCAGCTTCATTCCAAATCTTCAGTTTGTTCACAAATGGTGTGCATGGGAGAACTGCAGGCAACACTTTGCAGGCTGTGGTCAGCTCGCGCACACACGGAAGCACACAAGCTGGCTCGCTCGCGGCCATCTCTGTGTTATAAGGCCCATCGATGACCTGAACGCACAGCTGTTCGAGTCCCGGGAAGGTGCGCGGCAGCTGCTCGATGCCAGAGTGGGTTAACACCAATGAATTCTGGATCCGCAATACAAGATGTCGCACCCGCGGGAACACGACATCTTCGCGCGACAACCTGGCAAGGCTGAGCAGACGCTTGTCAATGCACCAAGTGAACTTGACCAGCATGGCAAGATCGAGGATGTGAATCCATGACCAGAGATCCCCTTCTGGCTCCGAATCTCCAATCGCAAATCGGAAAACCAACTCAGAGACGGGAAGTCGGATATCGAGTGCACAGGAAGCTGCAGGAAACGCACCAGCGGCACCACTCTTCCACCACATCATTCTCTCGTCCCGCGGCCGCTCGCTCACTCCTGAACTAGGCTTGACGGAGCAACGCCCTTGCACGAACAGTATATACCACCAGCCACGGTATGGCTTGCCAAAGCGGTCCCCACCCGGGCCGTCGCGGGTCAGGAGAACATCTGTCCAATGAGCCCAGGACCCTGCGCGGAGCGGAGCTAGCGGGAACGACCCCGAGCGAGTCGAGCGGGGCATCAGGACGGTGCAGGCCTTCGCGTTGAGGGTTAGGGTCACGCTGGCAGACGGCCTTCTTCGCGGTGGGTCCCTCCGCTGTGTCGGCTGTGCGTGCGCGGGACTTATCTGCGGAGGTGTAGCTGAGCAAGCGGCACCACCCCGACGTGCCCGGCCACCAGTCGACGCCCGGCGTTCCACGAGGTTGCGGAGGCGTATAATGTCCTTCGACGCCGGCGTTCCACGAGGTTGCGGAGGCGTATAATGTCCTGCGGGGACGCGGTACTAGGTGTGCCGCATACGGTTGATTTCGTGTGCTTCACAGAACTGAGGAGACTGTGACAGACGCGCATATGACAACACGCTTCCGTGTGAGAAGTGGACGCACTTGAAGGCACTGATAACTTGGAGGATTCCGATTCAATAGTTTACAGAATATTTTCCACTAGAAGGACTACCAATCATTGTCATATTTCCCTGGGGCGCCCGCTGAGCGACGCTCCGCAAGCATTTTATCCACGCGCTCCCAGAACCCCGCACTAGTCGCGCCGCCTGTCCACTCATCCTGCCACTCCGGCCAGCCGATCCCCTGGTGGACCAGGAGGCACGCAGGGTGCTCTATGAGGCGTTCGTCGAGCGGCACCTTCCCAACGCTGGTGGTAGGACAGGACGAATACATTCAACCGCCGATGTGGATCCGACAGCACGTCCAGCAACATGTCGAGCGGTGGGGCGTCCCTCTGCAGAATGTCGTGGTACCACTCCTTTGTATCGATGGCGAGATGCGTCAGCGCACGAAGCGCCAGAAGCGGCGGCCAGACTTGCGGCCAGCGGTGGTAGAACGACAGGTGGAGGTGTGTGATGCGTGTGAGCGGAGAGAGGTCGGGAGATGCGGTCATCATGTAGAGCGAGAGCAGGTTCGTGGTGAGCCGCCGGAGGTTGGGCAGAGTTCCGAGCACGTCTGCCGTGCTAAATATGAGACCACGCGGTAGAATGACAACATCTTGGAGGTGGGGGCAGGAGTTCAGAATACTGTTAGTCTCAGACGAGGAGAGCTCTCCGTCGAGACGCAGACCGGTCGACTGCGCGATGAATGCCTGCCGGCGGGGGGTC